GTGTATGTATGTACCACAGTTTGTTTATCCATTCATCCATTGGACATTTATTTCCACCTTTAGGTTATTGTGAATAGTGCTGCATAAATATGCATGTACATTACATGTGTTGTTTGAGTACCTGTTTTCAGTTATTTTGGATGTATTACCTAGAAGTGGATTTGTGCGGCCATAGCATAATTCTGTGTTTAAGTTTTTAAACAACTGCCGAACTGTTTTCCACAAAAATCCACTGATTTTTGCAAGCTTTTTTGTTAACTTCAGGATCTGAAAAACTTGATTTTGAGAATTTTTTTTCTGGTGTTCTCTTTGCTTTTCTAAAGGAATGGATGGATATTTGGAGTTCTTTGTTCCAACATTCCTTCTGACCTCACCTTGTTGCTGGCATTTAACAAATTGACACTGTCATGGTTTTTTTAGTCGTCTGTTTTGTTGTCCTGCACAATGCCTCTTTAAATCGTTCACCTCTTGCCTGATACTTCCACACCCTTTCCAAACACTCAGCCTTAGTGAAAGAACTTGCCTCTGAACTAACAGGCCAGTTTTATGTTGAACTGCCACCCTGCTGATATCTCCTTTGTGGATTCTTCTATGATGCTGCTCTTGGGAGGAAAGGAAGGAAAAGGGAAACTGGCTGGATTTCATTCTTTTCTGGGAGAAGATCCCATGTAGGACTCGAACCATACTTTCCTGAGAAAAGGATTCCCCAAATTATCAGTTCCCATGATGAGATCTGGCCATAGTCATTCTCCTGAATCCCGGGATTGCAGGGCTCTCACATTTGCTCTAACAGTACACTTTGGTGGCTCCCAGGCTTGAAGAAAATTGGCTGTTTCTCAGGTTTGAACATTTCCTACCACTTCCCTCAGCCCACCTTACTTTGTTGAGTTTATTTCTAACTTGTTCTAGATAATTGTTTTCCTTTAATAAATATTGGAGTGCTTAGTGTGTACCAGAACTGCTCTAGGCACTTGGGAGAAATCAGTGAACAAAACAGACAAAAACAAACAAAACAAACTGAAAAATAGAACTTCTCCAGTGGAAAGAACTGACAGTCCAGTGGAGGAATAAAGGTAGTACATAGAGTAAATGCATGCATTCTCTTTATGTATTTATTATGTGGAAGGTGATAGAAGAAAAGGTGATGTTATGAAATTAGGAAAAATATAATAGAGCAGAGTCAAATGTTGGCTAGGTAGGTGTGTTGTAATTTTGGATAGGATAGTCAGAGTAAGTTAGTAAGGTTGGGTTTGACGTGGACTTGAAGGACATAGAAGTGTTAGCCCTGGGGATAACTGTGAGAAAAGAGTTTCAGTTGTAGACTCGGAGGGAGCAGCAAGGAAGCCACTGTAGCTGGATTGGAGTTAGTGACTGTATCGTAGTGGGAGAAGAGTTCAGAGAGCAAGAGTGGGAATGGTTGTGAGAGTCTCTTGTAAAACCTCGATTTTTCTCTTGGTCCATTCTGTGGAAATAGTCATGTCTTTTGACAAAGAATGACCTTGGTTTAAAAGTTGTTCCCCTCCTAGACTCTTAGGCCAGGTTAGACCCTATTTTTGCACTCCTCTACCACCCTGAGCTTATTTATGAAAAAATATTTGTTAAAAAATATGTTTGAAAATATTATTTTTGTTTTAATTAGTTGCCCTTGGATGGAATGCAAATGTTTACTGCAGTTTTAAGCATCCCTTAAAGCTCACATTTTCCCCAAGGATCTGTTTTTAATGGGCATTAAATTCTAAAGTAGCAAATATGTGGGGTTAATGCAGGAGAGGGGAGGAAGAGTAGTGAGGAAGGACACCAGTGCTGTGAGTAGGGAGAGAGTGAGGGAGTTGGGACAGGAATTTAGAGGAGTGGTAGTGGGCTGAAAAGAGTCAAGGGCAAGGGAAGATGGTGAGGATGGGTACCAAAGGAGTCCTGGTGGCTAATTTCGGGAAGTTACTCGAGAGGGCTGGCCTGGTGGCGTACTAGTGTTCAGTTTGGTATGCTCCGCTTCAGCGGCCCAGATTTGCAGGTTCAAATCCTGGGTGGACCTACATTACCTGTCATCCATGCTGTGGTGGTGACCTGCATACAAAATAGAGGAAGATTGGCACAGATGTTAGCTCAGGGTGAATCTTCCTCAGTAGAAAAAAACAAAAAAAAAGAACTGATGCTTGAAAAAAAGCTGATGTGTGGCTATAGCAAAGACCTTTAAATGGGCGTTTGTTTAAATGCACAGGAATAACCTGGGATGCAGGTCATCCCCCACTGCTGTCTCAGCGATCTTTGGACAGAAACCTGTTTGGCTGCTCTCACAGCTCTTGAGAACTTCCCTGGTGGGGATTATGAAGTGATTTTTCAGGACTGATTCCTTAGATCTAGTAGGTCTTGGCATGTCTAGCCTCTCCACCCCAATGTCTCAAGATTCTGTTAAATTGTAGAAAATAAGGACATGGGAGGAGAAGTGATAAGAAAACTCCCACAGTCTAATGTTACTCTTGTTACAAATGGACGGCTCATTAACATACTTGCTTTATATCTGATTTTTTTTCTACTCATTTTTCATGTTGAGTGATTGGTTGGATGGAAAGTTAATCAGTATGATCAACAGCTAAAAATCTTACCAAGATCAGTTGGGTCAAAGTCCAGCAGTGTTATTCCAATAACCCAGTTTGTTTTTATTTTTGTTAAACAACAGGAATTTATTTCTCATAGTTTTGGAGGCTGGAAAGTCCAAGCTGAAGGTGCCAGCTGATTTGGTTTCCCAGTGAGGGTTCCCTTCCTGGCTTGCAGGCAGCCACCCTCTTGCTGTGTCCTCACATAGGGCATGATTAGGGGGTGGTATAGGGAGGAAGCAAGATCTCTAATATCTCTTCTTGACACTAATCCCATCTTAAGAGCCCCACCCTTGTGACCTTATCTAAACCAGATTACTTCCCAAAGGCCCCATCTCCAAATACCATCACATTGGGAGATAGGGCTTCAACAGACAGATTTTGGGAGGACACAGTTTAGTCCATAGCATAACCTAAAATGTATTCTCTAGAATTGGAGGGATCATTTAACATTTAGGAATAGAGGAGTCATACAATTACAGTGGTGTTTTAAGATTCATATAGTGGTGTCATGCATGTATTTTGAAGAACGGAGAGACAAGACAACAATTTGGAGTGTAGTACAGATGTACAAACATGAAGTAACTGTCCTACACCTAGAAGTTGGGGGGAGGTGCTTTAACAGGAATGGAAATGAAAGGTAGTTAGAATGACTAATGCTCTGAAAAGTTATTTAGAATCACTTATAAGTGTCTGTGACTAATTTGATGGGAGGTTTGTACAGCTTTTATAAGATAGGAGAATAAAAACAAATCCAATGAGGCTCTTTGATCCTTAGAGACTAAGTAGTCAATAGCACCGTCATCGGAAATAGGCATGCATTAAGTCAGAGTTCTCATGGTAAGAACACAGAACTAGAATTCAAGAATCATGCATTTTGATGCTAAGACTGTCTCCAGACCCTACATTTACCTTTAGGTAAATCATAAACTTTTCTAGGCTTTAAAAATCCATCCTTAGGTAATTCTGATGGTCATATTAGTTGTCAAATTAGGATTTATATTTTATTTTCAAAATTTTTTATTTTTAAATTTTATTCTGGTTTTTATGATTTCAGGGAGATTATTAATAATTTTGATGTAGAGTTATTTCTTTAGAGAGGATAGAGCATACATGCAGAATTACCTAGAAGGTAGTTACTAGAAATGTGAAAGTGAGCTTGAGAAGAAGGTTGGATTAGGGGAGAAATTCTCCCATAGAACTTTCCCTCCCCCCAGAGGAAGATTTGCCCTAAGCTAACATCAGTTGCCAATCTTGCTCCTTTTTTCTTCTTTCCCTTCCCCTAAAGCCCCAGTACATAGCTGTGTATAGTTGTAAGTTCTTCTTGTTCTTCTATGTGAGCTGCTGCCACAGCCTGGCTACTGACAGACGAGTGGTGTGTTTCCATGCTCAGGAACTGAACCCAGGCCGCCAAAGCAGAGTGCACGAAAACTTTCACTGCTACTATAACCACTAGGCCATCAGGACTGGCTCCCATAGAACATTTTTTTTTTGGTTTAAAAAATTTTTTTTAGGTATGCTTTTTGGTGAGGAAGATTGGCCTTGAGCTAACATCTGTTGCCAATTTTCCTCTTTTCTTTTTCCTCCCCAAACCCCCAGTACATAGTTGTATATCCTGGTTGTAAGTCTTTCTAGGTCTTCCATGTGGGATGCTGCCACAGCATGGCTTGATGAGCAATGTCTAGGTGAGCAATGTCTAGGTCTGTGCCCAGGATCTGAACCAGCAAATCCCAGGCCACCTAAGTGGATTATGCAAACTTAACCGCTACACCACTGGGCCAGCCCCACATAGTACATTTTTGATTGCGACGTCTAGACGATTGCTACTGGTGTCTAGTGGGCGGAGTCCAGCAGTGCTGCTAAACATCTTAAATGCACCTGATAGCCTCCTACAACAAAGAATTTTCTGATCCAAAAATGTCAGTAGTGCTTAGGTTGAGAAACACTGGACTTAAGTGGCATCATCCTGGAGTTAGGTGACTGAAGTTATATACAGACAGACCAAATCAATTTTCATTGACTCCAAAGAGCACTGTTTTCAGATTTGCCTCGTATGTTTTCTTGCATTACCTATCTCCTAATTATCTACTTGATCTTAGTTTTAAGAACGTTGTAAGTCACTGTTCATGATGCACTAAACTGTATGCTTCATGCATTCACTGTTTTCTACCCAGTACTTAGTAGTGTTGGACCAGTGTTGGGCAGCAAAATATAGTTGTAGAATAAGTGAAGAAAAGAATAAATAATTTTATTATGCTTAATGTTATATTTATTTTTAAAATTACTTCCAAGTTGGTACACACATTTTCAGGATTAAATACCTATATGTTCCAAAATTATATACTGATATGCTAATTAAATTGAGAGGTGCATGACATGTATTTGATGCCAGTTTAATTTTTATAGATTGGATTATGCTGACTTGAAGGGTCCACATTGGGCTACAGTGAATTCTGATGTTATGTTTTCAGAAATTGGTGAGTTATGAACAGGATTTTAAACTGCTTACATTTTGCTAGCCTAAAACCAATGTGTTCAAACTACTAGTAGTGACCCATTGATGTGTCATCATTGATTTTGTGGGTCATGATCAATTTAAGAAAAATGAAATAGGACGTATTAGAATACACATTCCATGTAGTAAAGGCAATTATTATTTATATGTGTTAGTGTAGTGAGACTCCACATAAATTTTTTTTGTTGTTTTGTTTTTTTACTGTGGGTTAAAAAAAAAAGTTTGTAAAAGTTAGCAGCTTTAAGTCTTTTATTTTGACCTACAGGATTTCTGACATAGACAAGGTTCTCATTAAGTTCATAGAAAATGTGGAATTAAAGGAGTGCAATGTACTCTACAAATAAAGGTTCTTATTACTGGGAGCCATTGTTTATTCATTTAACGGATTCTATACTTGGGTTCCTATGCTGTGCCAGGTGCTGCTCTTTGTGTTGAGGATACAGCAGTGAACAAAAGACAGTTTTTGTCCTTTGGAGTTTACATTTTACTGAATAGAGAATGGGAAAGAAGATAAATAAAGTTTATAATATGTTAGATGGTGCTTTAAGGTCTTGAAGATGAAAGAGAAGGGAAGAGAGATTGGGGATGTGAATTTAGAGGTTGGTTGGAGTATTTGAGAACCTCTCTGAGAAGAATACTTGGAACAGAGCCTCAGAGGTGTGAGGAGCCAGCCGTGCAAGTATCTGTATGATGAGCAGTCGTGTTAGAGGGACAGCAAATACAAGGGCCCCAAGCAGGGTCAAGTGTTTAGTGTGTTCCAGAAATAGAAAGGAGGTTAGTGTGGTTAGAGTGAAGTAGATGAGGGAGAGGAGTATGAGATAACTGCAGGGCAGTATGTAGGGTTGGAATTGTGGCCTTATAGGCATTGGAAGGACTTGGCCTTTTACTGAGTGAACTAGAAAGCCATTGGAGGAGTTTGAGCTGAGCAGTGATATAATGTGATTTGTTTTAACAGAATCACTCTGCCTGCCTTGTGGAGAAGAGACTGAGGTGGATTGAGGGAGGAAGCACTGTTGGATTTAAGTTCCATGGGGAAGTGAGGATTGGAAGGAGAAATTTAGGAGACATCAGCGAAGGCTTATAATTAAGGCCTTGAGTTGGGTGAGATTATCAAGGGAGTTCATTCCCAGTTTGCTAGGCATGTGCTAAGCACTTGACATTGAATGACGCTATTTGTTAACTAGTGTAGGTACACTCTCGTCTTTGAATTTGGTACTTTTCTATATTAGTATTTGTGAAATTAGTGTCTATGAATCAATTGAGATATGTACAATGTAGATGTTCTTTCAGTTCTACCATAAAACAAGCTGCCATTGAATAGGTGGTGCTTTTTAAAGAGCTATTACCTTAAGGCTAAGAAAGAAGAACTTTTGCCTTTGATACAGAAAAACATTTAAAAGTTAGAAGCTTGCCAAAGAAGAAGCTGGTGTGTGACCGACTTAGAATTCCAGCTTAATCTTCTCTAACTCCAAAACCCATGTTTCTAAACACTGCACAGTGGTGCCTTTGTAAAAATACTTGTCCTTTACGTATGATTTCGCCTAATGATTAGTTGGAGTTTTTTCTTTTCTTTTCTTTTTTATCAGCAGAGATCATAGTCAGCATTGGGCAAAGCTATGATTCTAGAGTCCCATACACTTGTAATTCTATGTTTTAAGCTATCATTTATCCTTTTTGAGCCTTAGTGTCTTTATCTGTAAAATAGGGATGTTTATAACTACCTTAGAGTTTTAGAGAGAATTAAGATAATGCATTTTTCTGTACTTACTGATGCGTAGTGTGTTTGTACTTAGGTGGCAGTTCATATAAAGGAAGCAGTGGGACTTGTGGCCTTCAAGAATTAAAAAAAATTAAAAAATGGAACAACCATGTACGTTATGTAAGGAAGAACAAGAGCCAGAACCACAGAAGAGCATAGAAGAAACCAAACAAGTAGATGATGAAGATGCTGAGCTGATCTTTGTTGGGGTGGAACATGAAGATGCTGAGCTGATCTTTGTTGGGGTGACTTCAAATTCAAAACCAGTCGTTTCAAACATTTTGAACAGAGTCACCCCAGGTTCATGTTCAAGGAGAAAAAAGTATGGTCACCTTAGAAAAGATACTGCTCACAAATTGCAGCCTGTAAGTCATGTGACCCCTACATCAGAAACAGTGACTGTCTTGCCACTTTCAGAATCTGAATCTAGATCAACAGATAGTCCTGTTATTATTGAGCCTTTGTCTAAACCTAATTATAAAAATAATTCACCACAAGTCGTGCCTAATAGCTCTTCAGAGTTATGTTCTCCTTTGATTACCTTCGCAAGTTCGTTGCAGCATCAGGTAGGAGCAGCACTTTCTGTAGGAGGTATGAATAAAAGTCTTTGCGTATCAAAGCGGCATTCCACTTCTGAAGTAAACAGCATAAATTCCAAAAGGCCTAAACTCAGTGATGGAATCATAGGGGGACATTCTTCAGCCTCGTCCCCGTCAGGTATCTTTCATACAATTACTACTCAGCAAAGCACACCCTCAAATGGTGTTCATACCTCATTAAGCCATGTTCAGGATGGAGCACCTTTTTCAACAGCTTTTCCAAAGGATAATGTCCTTTTCAAGCCTGTAAATCCCGTTAGGGAAAATAGACTGGAAGAAACAGACTTTTTGAGTCTCGCAAGTGAAAACAAGACTGTTGATCCCAAGAAAGGAAATCTGATTGTGTTACTTCAGGACTTTTACTACGGACAACATAAAGGAGACGAGCAGCCAGAACAGAAGACTCACACAACTTTTAAATGCCTCAGCTGCTTAAAAGTTCTAAAAAATGTCAAGTTTATGAATCATATGAAGCACCATTTGGAACTTGAGAAGCAGAAGGGTGACAGCTGGGAAAACCACACCACCTGCCAGCATTGCCATCGGCAGTTTCCCACTCCCTTCCAGCTGCAATGTCACATTGAAAGTGTGCACACTACCCAGGAGCCCTCCACTGTCTGTAAAATTTGTGAATTGTCATTTGAAACAGATCAGGTTCTCTTACAGCACATGAAGGACAATCATAAGCCTGGCGAAATGCCCTATGTGTGCCAAGTTTGCAATTACAGATCGTCGGCCTTTGCTGATGTGGAAACACATTTCAGAACATGCCATGAAAACACTAAGAATTTGCTTTGTCCGTTTTGTCTCAAAATTTTCAAAACTGCAACACCATACATGTGTCATTATAGAGGACACTGGGAAAAGAGTGTTCACCAGTGTTCCAAGTGCCGGCTACAGTTTTTGACTTTCAAAGAAAAAATGGAGCACAAGACCCAATGTCATCAAATGTTTAAGAAGCCTAAGCAACTGGAAGGATTGCCTCCTGATACAAAAGTTGTTATTCAAGTGTCACTGGGACCTCTTCAACCAGGATCAGTGAAAGTAGCATCTGTTACTGTGAGCACATCTGATTCTGAACCATCACCCTCCAGGTCTAAAAGTAGAAGTTCAAAAAACCTCCGTTAATTCTAGTTTCAGTAAATCTAAAGCAAGTATTTCAATCAGAGTCAGCAAACCCATAAAAACAAAAAAATACAAACCATACGTTATTCATTAGCATCAAAAATAGTGAAACCAACGGATCATTTATGAGTTTTTTTAAAATTCGTGAAATACTAGAATTTTTTTTCAATATGAATTGTTTCAATATGAATGATATGAAATGAATTTTGAGCTGTTATTTAAGAATATATTACCTGATTTATGAATTTTGAGCTATTTAAAAATATATCACCTGATTTTTATGTGACCATCTGGCTTAACACGTAAAAGCTGTGTGTGTGTGAGTGTGTGTGGAGAGAGAAAGAATGGAAACCTATTTATTATTTTGCTGTTTCTTGTCACTTGAAAGCTCTTCTATGTATAGAATCCGTAGAGTTTTTTAAGTACTTTATTTTCAACTTTTTCCATGCCTTGAAGATTTCAATATCAGCTCTAGTCAGACTGGAATAGCATTGCTATGGCATGGTCCTGTTTGCTGCTAAACTCCCAGAAGTGCCTCATTTGTGTTGGTGTAGAATAACATGGCTCTGAAAGCTGTGGCATGAATGGGAACCAGACTGGGAGGTTAGTCAATGTAGAGTGGTGGCTCCTTGTCTCATATGAGGGAGAGGCACATATTCACTCCAGTCTCGGAGCCAAGGCAGAAGGAATACTGTCTCCAGAGTGTCTTTACCTAGCCCAAGAACATCCAAAGAAGCAAAACCATTAAAATAAAATGCTTATGTTTGGCGAGGGGCCCTTTCAGACACCAATCAACCACGGTGTATCATTGGCTTCACATGGAGAAGCGGAGGTAATTAATATAATGGGGCTGATGCCAGTGCACCTCCTGTTGAGTGATCCAAAGAGGAATTCAGTTTGTTCCCTCCCCTCTCCCTTCTGACTGGCCTTTAGTCAGAATGAACTAGCCGTATTATCTCTCTTAGCTACAGCAGTAAAGCAAGTAAAGTTTCCCAAGGGAAAGAAGCGCTGACATCCATATTTTGAACTGTCCTGGGTCCATAGTTTTAACTGAAAAAGGATAAACAGATGGTATCTGTCCAGTTCATGGACTGGGCTAAATTTAGTTCTCTTACTGTTAAGCAGGAATGGCATTGTCCAGGAAGAGTAGGTACAATGGATAAAAGTAGCCCAGAGTGACTGACTGAAATTAAACCCGGTGTAGGGCTTTTCCTTATATTTTTCCAAGTACATCTATTTTACCCTAATTGAACATGTGAGGTTTGCAATTTTGTATCTTTCCTTGCACATGAATTCATGATGTTTGTAACAGTTACCCTCTTGTTGTGTATATAATTTTCCATTTTATTAAACTAATACTGAGTTTGAGTCTCACTTGACATACTCTTATGTGCAGGAAACATCCAATTTATTTCACTAAGTATTAGGTCTTAAGAGTTACTATCTTTCATCTCATCTGTTGAACTACCTAATCTGTGATGATAACTATGGAGGAATTTTTTTTCCCTTGCCATCTCCAAGGCTCTTTCAAAGAACTGTGGAGTACCCTCTGAGTATCGGTTCCTGAACATCAGCGGCCTTGGCTGCTTCTATGAGTTCCCAAGGTTAAGTCTCACTCCCTATTTTCTAGTGCCATGTGTCCTCCACCTTTGAGCCACGTACCTTGTAGCCTCTGTGCACCACTCAAGGAATCTGGGATCTTGGCTGTAGACCTAAGCCAGGAGAAATCTCTCCTTTGTTCCCTTGCTTTCTCTTCCTTCTTAAAGGCGCCTTATCTCTCTTCACTCCTTTCTCCCCTCCTCAGTCTAGTTAAATTCCCTAAGCTTGCACAAAAAGCTGTGAAGAGGGCTTAGCATCTCTTTCAGTATTCAGGAGGAAAGACTACAGACAACAAGGTAGTTGTGAGTATATTGTCCGTGTATTAGATGATTCCTTGAGTGTAGTTTCTGTTGTGTTTATTTGTTCAATGCTTGATTGATTCATTTGCACTTTGAATCTTTTACCAGACTTTTCCAGTTAGTTTGCTTGGGCCAAGGCACTTTGCTAAAATTTAGCCTGAACCCCTTTCTTTAGGTGGAGAGAGAGAATGTGTGTGTGTGTTTTCCACTGGTTCTGGTCTCAGGTGGAAACTTTTTTTGTATAAATAGATCTGTATACTTCTGCATATTTATCTCCCTTATTCCGTTTCTATAGTAAAAATATGAAATGTTGTGGTTTTGTGTTTTTGTGGTTGCTTATTATCATCAACACTGTTATTGTTTGCTGTTTCGCTAATGTATGCTCCTAAGGAGTGCAAATTGTTATTTATTGCCAACTACAGGTTCCAGTGATATGACCCCCTGTCTACCTCCTCTCTCTTCCGTTTTCTGCTGTTCTGCTGTATCATTTTCCTTGCTGTTGCACTATTTTTGACACACTGGCCTTGCTTTTCATCAAGCAAATCACATTTCTTCCTGATCAAATGACTTTGCAACTGCACCTCTCGTTCTTAGAATGCTCTTCTCCTAGGCCTGCATGGCTTGCTACCTCGCTTACTGACACTTCCTTTGGTTTATTGAACTTCATGAGTATTTTTAACATGACACTGATAATGAAATCTCCACTCCCTCTCCTTTTTTTGCTCCCTCCTCAAAAGCACTTTAAGTCTCCCCATTCCTTTCTCCCCCTTTCCAATCTAGTTAAATTTCCTAGCTTTTCACAAAAAGCTGGGAAGAGAGAATCATCAAGGGCTTTGCATCTCCCTTATGAGCTAGCTTGAGTTAATTTCTGTGCCTGCAACCAAAAGAAAATTAATATAGTGAATTGAGTTCTTTCAGGAGCTTTCTCTGTTTTTCTATTGATACCTCTCTATTTTTTTAAAGCAATGTCACTTTGTTTTGTTTACAAATATATTGAATATCTGTCAAGATTACTATTTTGTTATTGCCCTTGTGAATTCCCTTGTCTATTTTGCTTGCTTGTTCTTTCAGATGAAATTTATTATTTTATTAATGTTGCCAAAAACTGTAAGTAAAATAGCAATTATAGTAATAAAATGTTTTTTGAAAAAACGTTTTTGCTATATTGTCTTTTCACCAATAACATGGAATATTTTTAGTTTTATCTAATTTTTATTTAGTACCACTATGCAAACTCTTTGCCTTCCTGCCAGTTGTGTTTATTTTTAATCTTATTGCATTGGCCAGAACTTCTAAACAATATATGTAAGTGGGTTGTTGGTTTTAATGAGAAATGCTTTATCATTAAAGGTAATGAGTATATTGGTTAGTGAATTTCTATTTGTCTTTAGAATCTTTAAAGAGAATTGTTTAGTTTTATTGGATAGTTTACAACATCTTTTGAGACAGTCATGCTCTTTCCTTACTCAAAGTTTTTCTTGGCTGCATTCACAACTTTTCTATTAGAAACTTTCCTTTCCTGACGCAAAAATAGTTCCACGTGGGGTTGAATATTATCCTCTCTGCTAACAATCTCATTCCCTTTCTCATTTCTAATATTGAAATGTATTTCCTCTTCCCCTCATATGATTTGTCACAATTTTGTCAATGTTTCTGATTTACTTTTTCCAAGAAGCAACCCTTGATTTATTATCCCAACTGGTTTTGTTTTTGTTCTCTATTTTTGTCTTGATTCATTATATACCTTCTACTTTCTTTAGGATTTTTTTTATAACCTTTTATTTTTTTATTTTTTTGAGGAAGATTAGCCCTGAGCTAACATCTGCCGCCAATCCTCCTCTTTTTGCTGAGGAAGACTGGCCCTGAGCCAACATCCTTGCCCATCTTTCTCCATTTTATATATGGGACGCCTCCCACAGCATGGCTTGCCAGGTGATGTATAGGTGTGCACTGGGGTTCTGAACCAGTGAACCCTGGGCCGCCGAAGCAGAATGTGTGAACTTAACTGCTGTGCCCCATAACCTTTTATTTTAAAATATTTTTTCTCATTAATAAAAGATTTAAGACTTTGCCTACCTTTGTTTACAGCTTTCTCTGAATCTTAAATATTTTGATGCATATTTTCATTTTTATTTAAGTTTTCATTCTCTCTTTTTCTGGTAAGTTAATTCCAAAGATTTAAAAATCTGCAGGCTAAATGTTTTAGTCTTAATTTATAGTTTACTATAATTACATCCTTGGAGCTCTGAGGGTATGTGTGTATATGACATGTATTTATATACACATCCTTTTCAGATTACTACATGGATTATTAAAGGGGGGGGTATTTTCTGTTTGGTAAAAATATGAAATATTTTAATTCTGGAAATCTGTTCCTTCAAAATAAATATAGTTTATAAGGTAGAGGTATGAAAATACTCATTTGAAAGTAATTCCTGGTGACAAAACTTGGAAATGTTAAAGTTTCATGATGCTTGTTAAAGATGGTAAGGAAAACTTTATTCAAGGGGGGACTACTACAATGGAGTTTTCTAACAGGGGAGAGATGCTGAGTTTAAATCTAACTGACTCCAGCAAGGACAAAATTGGGATTTGTAACCAAGGAAGCAGGGTGAGTGTCAGTGGGTGGAAAATTACTAAGAGGAAACATCAACAGTAAGGTGGACTCTGGCTAAACCGAGTTGACAGGACTATTGCTGAGGATGGGCTGGAGTGATAAGATATCGAGGATGGGCATAAGGAATTTGATCAGATATCAAGGGTGGGGGATTTTCCCTAAACTGACCCAGCAGGTTTCTTGCTAAAACTGAAGTAAAACGGCCAGAACCACCACTGAAGACAGCCCAAGGTTGGTAATATTTTAGTTACCTTTTGTTGCATAACAAATTACCACAAAACTAACAGCTTATAAAAGCATTTATTATCTCACACAGTTTCTGGGAGTTGGGAATGCAGAAGCAACATAGGGTTGTTCTGGCTCAGGGTGTCATGAGGTTGCAGTTACCTGAAGGCTTAACTGGTTCTGGAGGATTTGCTTCCAAGGTGGCTTGCTTACTTGGCTTGACAGGAAAACTCCAGTTCTTTGCTGGCTGTTGGGAGAAAGCCTCAGTTCCTCCCTGTGGGCCTCTCTACTGGTCTACCCAAGTGTTCTTGAGACGTGACTAGCTCGCTTCTAGAGGGAGTGATGCAATAGAGTGAGCAAGGATGCTGCAATGCCTTTTGTGACCTAGTCTCAGACATTTCAGTCTTTCGTTTCCACAATATTCTGTTCATTAGAAGTGAGCCACTAAATCCAGCCCACGTATCACGGGGAAGGTAACTAAGCTCCATCTTTGAAGGGAAGAATTTGTGAACGTAATTTAAAACCATCGGGGTACATACTCTAGCCGAAAATTATTTACATACCTCCTATGTGCAAAATGCAATCACCTCCTCCCAAGACCTCCGAAAGTTTCATCCATTACAGCATTAACATGAAGTCCAGAATCTCATCATTTAAAGCAGGTCCAGATGTGAATCAGGGTCCTTGGGTGGTGGTGCTTATGTGTAGTATGTCAAGTACAGTTCCTTTAGATTTGAAGACCTATGAACAAAAGAGATGAGTTACCTGCCAGCCTACATCCACACCCAACGTACAGTGGGACAGACATAGGATAATCTTCATGACACCCCTGTTCAAAAAGGGGGAAGGGGGAAGGGAGATGAGTCATTTAGTCAGTGGCAGTTCTGAAATCCCACCAGGTACATGTTGGCAATTCACTGAGTAGCACTCAAGGCCTGGAAATTCTCTTGACTTTGATCTCTGGGTTCATGATTCTGCTTTTTGTTGTTTTTCTTTTTTTTTTTTTTGAAAGGTAGCACATAGTTATAGCTAAAGAGTTTTCTCAGCCTGCTCTCTGCTTGTAGAAGGTAGAAGTCCAAAGTTCTCTTTTCATTTTGTGCTGGCTCTGGTCGTTTCAGTCCAAGCTGGTGGCATTTCTTCAAATATATTCTCCTAAAAACTTAGTGTGTCTCCTGTTAATCTTACTGGTGTGCACACCAAAGAAGACCACTCCAAAGCCACAACCACACATCTCTTCAAGATAAGGCCGTCTCTGTCTTGGTTTCCTGCTAAGATAGCTAAGGGACAAACACCCTTAAGCTTCCTAGAAGCCCTGTTGTGTGAGATGGTCTCTCAGGCACACACTTATACTCTTTAGAGAGCCTTGGCCCGACTGAATGGTACTCTGAATCACCACTTTTGATCTTTCTGAGCCTTAACAAAGAATTTTATAGTCACACTCATCTTTAGACCACTTTTCTTCACCGCCCTGGATATGTTCTTTGCTTGGTAGCCGTTAATTTTAGCATATTTTGCCATATGAAGAGACTAGAAAATTTCAAAACCAGCAAGTTCTGGCTTCTTTTTTGCTTAACAGTTCTTTTTTATTAGCTTTTTTATTTTCTTTCACATTGTACTATAAGCAACAGCAAGAAACTTCTTGAAAGTGCTTTCAGGTGGGAATCTTCTTAGCTAGATGACTCAGTTAATTAGGTACATTTGCTACTTTCAGTAGATTAGATACATTTTCTACTTTTTATGTAACTGCAGGTGATACCGTTACTACACTTTCTGCCACTATATAATCCCTTTCTCAGTTTTTTAATAAAATGTTCCTCACTTCCTTTTAAGGCACACCATATCCTTCTCAAGGTGTTTTGTTTTTGTTTTTGTTTTTGTTTTACTAAGGCTTGCACTAACACTCTCCTCAAAGTCCTTCCAGCTTTTGCCTGGTTCCAAAGCGCTCCCATATTTTAGGTATTTGTGATCGCTTGCTGTATAAAGTATTACCTCAAATTTATCAGTTTAAAATAATAAATGTATTATTTTATGTTTTTCAAGAGTCAGGAATTTGGAATTGGCCTAGCTGAGTGGTTCTGGCTTAGCTGCTTTCAGGAGGTGGTAATTAAGCTGTTGACTGGAGTTACAGTCATCTAGAGGCTTGACTGGGGCTGCAGGATCTTGCTGTGGCCTGAATGTTTGTGTCCCCCCCAAATTCATGTGGAAATCCTAACCGCCAAAGGTGATGTTATAGTAGTTGGGGCCTTTGGGAGGTGATTAAGTCATGAGAGTGGAGCCTCATGAGTGGGATTAGTGTTTTTGTAAAAGAGATTCATTCCATGGAGCTCCCTAGCCTCTTCCACCATGTGACGATACAATGAGAAATCTGTGACTTGGAAGAGGTCCCTCACCCAACCATGCTGGCACCCTGATCTTGGACTTCCAGCCTCCAGAACTGTGAGTAATAAATTTCTGTTGTTTTATAAACTACCTAATCTGTGGTGTTTTGTTATATAACAGCTTGAATGAACTAAGACAATCAGCTGCTAAACTTACATGGCTGTTGGCAGAAAGCCTCAGTTCCTTGTCACATGTTCTTCATGACATGTCAGCTGGCTTCTGGCAGAGTGAATGATCCAAGAGAGAGTAAGAAAGAAGCTGCATCCTAGCCTTGGAAGTGAAATACCATCACTTCTGTTGTATGCTATTAGTTAGACAGACCAGCCATGGTATAATATATAAGTGGACCATATATGAGCTGGAACCAGGCAGGGGGTGGGGAATACTAGGGGGCCATCTTGGAGGCTACCACAGGGAGAATGGAACCTTAGACATTTCTATGATACTCTACAAGGAATGCAGGTAAAACTGAGTTAATGGTCAGGGTGTTACTTTCCCACTCTCTAGTTTGCCACTGTGGCTGACGCTGACCAGTCTGAGATGAGATTCTTTTGGACGTAAGTACATTAATTTAAAAACTTTGAATACGTATTATATTCACATTGTTCAAAATCAAAAAGTATAACTCTCCTCAGATTCATTTTTAGTCTTTCAGATAATTTATTTTTTCTATTTTTTTTAGATAACGGATTTATATTATACACAGTTTTCTTCATCTTGCCTTATTTGTTTTGACAGTGTAACATGCTCACAATGTTTTATGGCATATAAACTGACAAAATCATTGCCTAAAATTTGAAAGGAATAATTTAAAAAATCTTTTCTGAAGTGTTTCTAGAGATTACTAAGAAAAATCTCTAACACACTATTATAAAATTGTTGTAAGGAAAAACCTGGCTATTTTGTAAATAATTACACCTAGTCAATAAATAAATACGAAATTCTCAATCTCAATAGCAAACATAGAAATGGAAATTAAAACCGTGGTATCTTATTGATGAATATTCTAGGAATTATGTCTACATCAGTGAGAGTATGATGAAAGGAAAGTCAATTTGTATAAACCTTTCTGAAAGTTATTTCAAAATATTAATTAAAATCAATATATCTTTCATAGATAGCTTTTACAAATTCAATAAAAATGCACAGAATGAATGTTTAGTATAAAAAATTTAGCATATAGGAAAATTGAAGGTTTTAGTTTGTACTTCTAGAAAGTGGAAATAATTTAAATGCTCGAAAACTGAACATTTTGGTACTTCCCGTTTAATAGCTGCATATTATATACATATATATTTTACAGAGATTACAGTACTATGAAGTAAAACTAGCAAGATACAGATTTGTGTATACATTGTGATCTGAACTATGGAGAAAATATGTGAAGGGAAAAAGACTAAAATAGTAACTTCCTTAGTAATCCAACTTTTGAACTATTTTGATCTTTAAATGATAGGAAAAAAGCACTCCTTAAAAAAAATACTTCCAGATTTTATGCAGTGAACTTGCATTGTTCTGAAAACTTTACTTATATAAAACGAGGAGCTTGTTTTCATTGCTACTAGCAGTCTGAAGTACATCTGTAAGAGATACTTTCTTTGGAAAAAATATTTTATAAATTATTCATCTAGTACAGATTCTATTCCCTTTGGATTGATAAAATATTTGGCTTCTGTTTTTCCTAAACCCTTCTTCTCCAAAAACATTCACTGAATCATTTTAGCCTCCTTCCCTTGACTTTTTTTCTTCTCTGAATGGCTAACGTTACCTGGCCTTGAGAGTTAAAATGTCTATCCATTTGATACCCAATTTAGGTGATCGTATGTGGACCCAGGCTCACCCTGGGCACATTCATGCCTCCATTACTCATCTGGGTCTCTCACTGTACCCAGCACCTGGATATGCCAGCAAACATTAGTGCTCAGTCTCGTCCTCAGGCTGTGCCCCTGAGATGGTGAGGGTACTTTGCCCCCAGGAGGAGACTGAGAAGCGAGCACAGGTCTGTGAGTGTCTGTATTTTGTGTTATAAATCAATGTCCTTGGAACTTGGTCAGGCTTCCTCTGGCTCAATTATGGATAGTTACCCTTGGTGACCATTCCAGTGCTGGAACTGCAGGTGAGAGCGACTGTCCTTCCTGGTCAGTTAGGACTCCTGTGTAAGCATAGTCTGAGAACAGGCCCCTGAAAGAAAAAACACAGACACCCATTAGGAATGAGGAGGAAGACACAGGGAATCACTTCAAAGACTGGTCTCTGAAATTTCCATGAACCTAGACAGTGAAGGAGAAGGAGAGGAGTCAAGGCCATGGTGCACATGTTCCAAGGACCCGCTGAATCCACAGCTAGTGTTGGACCGTCTGATGAGTCTTTTATAATACTACCTCACCTCTCTCGCTAAAGGTTGAGTGTTTGTGATACATTGGACAAATCTAAGCCCTTAAACATCAGCCATTAACTACCCCTTTCCCTCCCCAATTCTGGACCCTTGGCCCAGGAAGCAGCTCCATTGTCCATGGGAGGCCTGGGGTGCCTGTGAGCTCTTGGTTTGCCCTGTGGGAGGAAACAGCTGCTGTAACCTCTCAGGAGGACCAGTGAACAAGTGTCCAGGATCCAGTAAATTGAACCACTTGAAACTTCCTCCAGGCCTCTGAGGAGATCCACAGCACCCCTTTGTGGCTTCTTTGGGCCAAGCATGTGTGGTACGCCTCTCATTCATTTAATGAATTACGCTTAAGGTTTTTTGGTGTTTTTTTTTGACATTTCTACTGTATTTCTCAGACCAACCCACACTCATTGCTTATTTCTTCCTTGCTCATTGCCATTTGTACTTCTTTCTGTAATTATTGTTGACAATCCACTGCCTTGTCTGTGTTTCAGTTTCGGTGTTACTTGGTCTTAATTGTTAATCTCAATATTTTGAATGACAAAAGAAATTATATTCATGGCCATCTGACTTGAAGTTATTAACTTTGACTATCAAATTGAATGAAACTCTGGTTTAAAATGATAATTATTTTAATAATTTACTTTAGAGAATTTTAAATAGAAAATACAGACTCATAACCCAAAACTGACTATGCCAGTCCAGTACAGACGTTAGGCTCTGGGGGACCTAGACAGGAAAGGGAAATATGGAGCATTTAAAAGGTGAGAAGCACAAACTGTCCTGATTTAGGTCCACTGTGCCTCCTAGTGCTATTCATTGATAGGAGACACCAGAGCCTGTGATGAAGCTTTGTGTAAGTACTTTGCCTAAGTAGCTTTTGCTGTGCGTGAGTGTGAAATCCTGGTTTGGGGATTATAGGCCCTTCTGTTTTAGCAGACATGCTGCTGTCAGCAAGTCAGTTGGCCACGTCAGTAAAAAAGGCATCCTAGAGAGGATTGATGAAGCTTTCTGCACTTTGGAGGGATTTCAACTTTAAGTACAAAGCAGGAAAGGACTTAATTTGTGACTTGAAAAATCTGAGAGGTGCTTATTATTTATTATAATTTATTTTTATCATTTGCATTTAATTTCTACCCATAGCTCTGTGGTAAGAGAATGAGATCTGCACAAAATTTTGCATACTTGTTTTGAGACAGAAATTTAGGAGTTTTTACAAAGGAAATAACTATTGTTATATGAATAGAAGTAGTTTGAAAGAAGTTCAATAACATGCAGTTTGTAATAGAGAAAACATAAAATCCCTACAATATTATGAATAAGTAATGATCTAAATAGGTGAAGAATACTTGAAAACATGCAGAGATGTTGACTGTGTATTGCTAAATGGGAGACTGGATTGTAAGATATATTGCAGTTTGACCCTTCTCCCTTCCTTACTTTCTCCCTAACCCCTCCTTCTGCCCCAGGCCAACTACCATCTCACATAGAAACAGGCAAACACACAAAAACCTGGAAAGGTATATGTTTTCAAAATATGTGCAATGATTACCTCTAAGTAGTGAGAGTATGGGTGGTTTTTGTTGTAAACATTTGCACATTGGCTATTTATCTATTTTGTTATATTATACTCATTCTTCTTTTTCAATGTTACTTAATTTCAAAGGAAAGTTTGGGAGAGCACAGAGGAGCAGTTAAGAAAAAGAAGCAGTTTGTTCCTGATCATTAAAAAGTCACTGGTGCCCACATCTTTCCTCTATGGCCTAGGGTCATTGATGGCCCTTTCACAGCTACCTGTCCTTTTTTGTGCTAAAATGTCTTAGTCATTTCCAGCTGCTATAACAAAAATATACCATAGACTGGGTGGCTTAGACAATAAACATTTATTTCTCACAGTTCTGGAAGCTGGGAAGTCCAAGATCATGGTGCCGGCAAATTTGGTTCTTGGTAAGGGCACTCTTCTTGGCTTCTAAATGGCCACCTTCTCACTGTATCCTTATATGGCAGAGAAGAGAGAGAATTCTAGTCCCTTTCTCTTCTCATAAGGACAGTAATTCCACCATGGGGGCTGTACCCTCATGAACTCATCTAAACCTAATTAATTCCCAAAGATCCCACCTCCAAATACCATCAGATTAGAGGTTAGGGTTTCAACGTATGAATTTTGGGGACATGCAAACTTGCAGTCTTGACCCCCCCCCAAAAATTCATGTCCTCATATGCAAAATATATTCATTTCATCCCAACGACCCTAAAAGTCTTTTTTTTTTTTTTTTTTTTAAGGATTGGCACCTGAGCTAACAACTGTTGCCAATCTTCTTTTTTTTTTTCTGCTTTATATCCTCAAACCCCCCGTACATAGTTGTATATCTTAGTTGCAGGTCTCTCTAGTTGTGGGATGTGGGATGCCGCCTCAGCGTGGCCTGACGAGTGGTGCCATGTCCGCGCCCAGGATCCGATCCCTGGGCCGCCGCAGTGGAGCGTGGGAACTTAACCACTCAGCCACGGAGCCGGCCCCTAAAAGTCTTAAATCATTCCAACATCACTTCTAAAGTCTAAAGTCCAATGTTTTATCTGTATATCCTCTAAATCAGATATGTGTGAGACTCGAAGTGCAATTCATTCTGAGGCAAGTTCCTCTCTACATTTCAACCTGTGAAACCAAAGAAGTTGTATGTTTCCAAAATACAATTGTGGGACAGGTATAGGATAGATATTCCCATTCCAAAAGGGACAAGTATGAAAGAAGGAAGATCTACAAAGCACAGCAAGGCAAATCCCATTAGATTTTAAGTTTTGAAAATAATCCAAAGGTGGTAGCCTTGATGATCTCTGAATTGCCTTTGGGTTCCTTTTTCCCTTGTCTTGAAGAATAGTGACTGTTTGCAGTTGGATAGCTCTATGGTCCAGTCCTACAGGATCTAAAAGTCCAATAGCCTTCTTTCGTTCCATCACATCTCCATACCCTTCAGTTCCAACTGGCAATGTTCCTGCTGGGGTGGCTGATTAAGTCACTGATACGAATCTTATCAAATATTTGGCCACACCCTTAGTGTTCTCTTAAGAAGATGTTTTCTCATTTTTTGCAATATGGATAGGCTGAGAATTTTCCAGATCTTTAAGTTCTATTTGCTTTTTGCTTAATTCCTTGTTCAATTTATTTCTCTCTTTTCTTATTTTACCATAAGCAGTCAGGAGGAACCAAGCTGCAACTTTAACCCTTTCTTAAAAATCTCCTCATCTAAGTATGCAATTTCATCACTCACAAGTTCTATCTTCCACAAAACACTAGAACACAAACACAATTCAGCCAAATTCACTTTATAACAAGAATTACTTTTTCTCCATTGTCCATCGACCTATTCTTCATTTCCCTCTGAGACCTCATTAGAATGGCCTTTACTGTCCATATTTCTACCAACATTCTGTACATGATTATGTATTCTCTAAGAAGACGGAAACTTTCTCTATGCTACCTCTTTTTTTTTCCTGAGCCTTCACTATATTGGCCTTTTTCTAGCAGGCACTTCAAAACTCTTCTAGCCTCTATCCATAGCCCAGTTTCAAAGCCACTTACACATTTTTAGGTATTTGTTATAGCAGTACTCCACTTCTCAGTACCAATTTGTGTCTTAGCTGAGGCTGCTTATAACAAATAATTGTAGACTGGATGGCTTAAACAACAGACATTTATTTCTCACAGTTCTGGGGTCTGGGAAGTCCAAGATCAAGGTGCTGGCAGATTTGAGGGCAGTCTTCCTGGCTTGTAGATGGTTGCCTCTAGCTATATTCTCACATGGCAGTGAGAGAGAGCTCTAGTCACTTTCTCTTCTTATAGGGACATTAATCCCATCTTGGGGGCTCCACTCTTACCTAAACCTAATTATTTCCCAAAGGCGCCATCTCCAAATACCATCACCTTAGGGGTTAGGGTTCAATATATGAATTTTGGGGGAGACACAAACATGCACTCATATAACCAACACAGAGTCCCTCTGCTGGAGATGCCCTTACTCCCTCCACATTTGCTTACCCCTCCTCTTCCAAGACCCCCACGTGCATGTCCTACCTAGGTGGACTCTACCTTGATTTCCCTGGAAAAAGGGTAGCTACTTTAGCAGTTGAGTTTTCAAAAATCTTTGTTAATTCTTTGTAATAGTAATTAGCACATCAGTTTATACTTTATTTCTAATATCTTGGAAGGTAGTATCCTTGACAGAAGGAACTTCTCTTGTTTGTCTTTGTATTTTCACCTTCCCAGACCAACCTAAAACAGTAGTTTCCCCTTATCTGTGGTTCTGCTGTCCGTGGTTTCAGTTACTTGCGGTCAATCACAGTCCAAAAATATTAAGTGGAAAATTCACCTGCAGCAGATGATCCTCCTTCTCATGTATCCTCAAAAGGTCAATAGTAGCCTAATGTTGTGTCACAATGCCTTCGTCATTCTTCTCAGTTCACCTCATCTCGTAGGCATTGTATCATCTCACGTCATCACAAGAAGAAAGGCGAATACAGTACAATGAGATATTTTGAGAGAGAGACCACAGTCACATAGCTTTTAGTACAGTATATTGTTATAACTATTCTATTTTATTATTAGTTATTGTTATTAATCTATTACTGTGTGTAGTATATAAAATAAACATTATCATAGGTATAAATGTGTAGGAAAAAACATAGTATATTTAGGGTTTGGTACAATCCACGATTGTAGGCATCCCCTAGGGATCTTGGAACGTATCCCCTGCAATAAACGGGACCACTGTACAATATGTCACTCAGAACTAACCATTGATAAATGTTTGCTGGTTGAGTGAATGAGTTGCTGCATGAGTGGATGGATAGATGGATGAAAGTTTGAGCCCAAGACATATATATGTAAAATGAAGGTTTTATATTAAACGATTATTAGTTTTCCTCTAATACTTTGTGGTTAAAAAATTTAAAGTTAGGGGCTCCATGTGATAAAGAGATAGAACTGGAAAACATAAAGAGACAAAAGGGCAAATAAATTGGAAGCAACTTAAAAATTTGGCAAAATGTCAGAATAAGAGTAGAGAAAACACATATGCAATGTTTGGGGATTATAAATATTCATTCCTTTCTTTTGCTCTTAAAGTTTTCTTTTCTATAACAATTCAATTCTCACCTATAATTTTCTTTGACTGATAGGACTTTAGAGAATATATACATTTTTAATCTTTAAAATTTAAATTTTATTCAATGTTTTAATTATAGCAATTATTTCTAATTTTAAGTCAACATGTTTGTTTTAGACAATAGAGTGATATATAGAATTGTAAAAGAAAAATCATATATAAATTTTGACATTAAATCACCCATATAGCCCAACCTCTTATCATTCCCAGTCACTTTCAATGAGATACCTCCAAGTTTCTTGGCCTGTTAGAATGCTGCAGGGACAGCATAAAAGGAGAGTTGTTCAGCTGCTTGTGCTCCCTATCCTAGTCTTGGACACTCCCACTGCTCTTGGAAGCAGAGAAACTGTACCAAATATGAGTCTTCCTCTTAGTTGAGTTGGTAAAATTCATGACTGCCCTCTGCAGGAGAGAGACCTGCTATTTAAACATACAAGTTGGTGTGTGTTCACTCATTAGACCAATATCCAATGTCTGCTTTATGTCAGGTGTATCAGTCATATACTGCTACGTAACAAACAACCACAAATATAAGCATTTATTACTCACATGTGTGTTCATTTTGAAGCCCAGACTGAAGAGCCAGAAATTACCCAGGCCCAGGTCTTTTAGGTAATACAAGCAGCAAAAGAGGGTAAACCAAATGGTGCAAAACATCTCATTGCTCAAGGGAGCACATGGCTAAGACCAAAGTCAAGAGGGATGCATATTCCTGTAGGTAGAACTGCAAAGCAAAGTTATATGACAAAGTTACATGAACAAAGGTAAGAGTAATATTGGAACAATAATTTAATCTAGTAAACCAGCCATTATGCTATTCTTGAGATATTCTCTGGACTTGCGTGATATTCTGTTCTCAGGATATAGCTATACCTAGAACTTCCTTTGTTTGGAAGAGTCTGTATACTCAAGAGAAGCTTTGAAACACTCCAAGTTGTACTATCTGCAGTCACTTCCCAGTGGTAATGACATAATCTTTATATACAAATATTTATATCCAGTACTTGACTTGTAAAAGAACCCTCTCTTTGGGTTCTCATACTGTATATACGTTATACATACAGTATTTCCACATCTATCTATTGAAAGGGTTTATATTGATACCTCCTACTTAATTGCAACACTCCTGGATTCATTCTAGGCTCCTTTTTCATATTATATCTCCCTTCTCTTTGAGTAAGAAAACTAATTCCTATTAACTACAATATACTTTTTTATTTTCTCATTTCTAGAAAGCACATTACATCAATTCAGAATTGTTAACTCATACTACTTGTATAAACAAACCTACTAACTAGTACAGCCAACAGTAGTTCTCAGCCTTGTCATCCTTAGGCTAGGTCCCCGAGAGGGTGAGGGCAACTTTGTCCCCAAGGAGGGAGCCTGAGAACTGGGTGGGGATCTATGAGTTTTTGTTGTGTGTATTGTAAGTCAGTCTTCTGGGAACTTGGCCAGGTTTCTGCTGGAACCACGATGGATAGTGACCATTAGTGACCACTCTAGTGCTGGAGGCACAGGTGAGAGTGACTGTCCCTCCTGGGAACATAGTGAGTGCTCTGAGTCACCACAGGCTGAGAACTGGCCCCTGAACCCAAAAACACATTCATTTTAGGAATGAGGAATGAGAGCAGAGGGATCACTCCAAAGACCAGTCTCTGAAATCTCCATGAACCTGGAAGTGAGTGAGTAGTGGGAGGAATCCAGGCTATGATGCAGATGTCCCAAGGATCCACTGGCAACCACAGCTGAGGAGCTCTCTACTGGCTCTTTTATTCCCTCCTGAATGCCCTGGGTAGTAATATGTGCGTGGTGCATTGTGCAAATCTCCTCCCTTTACTACTTCTCCCAACTGTACCCTCAGCTCAGAAAGCAGCTCCCTTGCTAGAAGACAAGTTTGCCTGATGAAGCACCCTTTCACATGGGCTGCTGAGTCCAGAGCCCTTTACATTTGAAGCCCTGAGTGTGTCAGACCATGCTCACTTCCAAGGGAATGCACAGTGCCTCTGGGGGCTTCTTCAAGAGAATGTGAATGGTGATTGGAAATATGAAGAGTAAGCAGTCATGCATTCTTTCATTCAACTAACAAATAGCGTTTTAATTCCTTTGATTTTTTCCCTACAATTTGTAGTTTGCCTTTCACTTTCTTACTGGTATCGTTCGATGAGCAGTAGCTTTTACCTTTTTATGAAGTCCAACTTACAAATTTTTTTGTGTGTCCTTGTTATCTTTGTGCCTTATCTGTGCCAGTTATCAAAACATCCTCCCATTTTTTATTTTTTTCTAGCAGCTTTTTGTTTTGGCTTTCACATTTGAGTCTATAATCTATCTTGAATTAATTTTGTGTGTGATGTGAGGTAGGGGAGTCAAAGATCTTTTGTCCCCCCCCCCAATATAAATATCCAGTTTTTAGAGTACTGTTCATTAAAAAAGACTTTTTCCCCATTGAATTTCATTGGTACATTTGTTGAAAATCAAGTGAATGTAAATGTGTTTATTTATTTATTTATTTTCCCAGCTTTATTAAGGTATTATTGACAAATAAAATTGTATATATTTAAAGTATACAACATGAGGACTTGATATATGAATACATTGTGAAATGATTGCCACAATTAAGTTCATTAATACATTCATCATCTCACATAGTTACCTTTTAGTCTGTGTGTTTGTGTGTGGGGGGGGCGAGAACACTTAAATTCTAATCTCTTGGTAAATTTCAAGTATACAATACAGTATAAAGTGTTGGATTATTTTTAAACTCTATTAATCTGTTGACCTATTTGTCTGTCTTTACACCAATACCACATGGCCTTAATTGCTGTAACTTTATAGAAAGTTTCAGGATTACCAGGGCTATTCTAGGTCCTTTATGTTTCCATTTAACTTGAAAATCACTTAATAATTTCTGCCAACCCACTGGAACTTTCATTGGGATTGGCTTGAATGTCTATACCAATTTGGAGATATTTAATATCTTAAAATATTGAGAGAATTTTTACAACCTATTGTTTTGAACCAAAATTCAGTCTCTGATTTAATTCAGGATTCACTTTGATGAGGAATATTAGGTGAAATTGGTTTCTTACATAAAAAATGTTTCACAGGTTTTCCTTGGTACATTTTGATGGCTTTTCAAGAAGGGAGTTTCCAGTAACATATATTTTAGTTTTATTTAGCAATAAGTCATTAAATTATGACAGCCCATGCTGCCACTTCTGTGAGACGATACATGTATTTCTGTGTGAATTGTAGGTGTGTGTTAGATATGCCATCAGTTTCAAAACAATAAACGTTTATTTTCTTGTAGTTTCTGTGAGTTAGTCTCAAGGGGTTGCTTAGCCAGGTGCCTCTGGCTCATGGTCCCTCATTTAGTTGTAGGTGGGCTGTCAGTAAGGGTCCCCATACATCTGAAGACTCAGCTGGAGCAGTAGGATCTGCGTCTTTTCGTGGCTGTTGGCAGGCCTTGTTTCCTCACCATGTGGGCTTCTCCAAACGCTTGTGTCAGGCAGGGTGTCTTCCTACCCCCAGGACAAGCAATCAAAGAGAAAACAACTAAGTCAGGCCACTGTCTTTTTACAACCTAGTGTTAGAGGTGACATTCCATTACTTCTGTGTTCTGCTTGTTAGAATCTTGTTCTATAAACGAGTTAAAGGTGGCCTCTGTAAATTAGCCGCTATGTTGTTTGCCTCTTCACAGCAGGCTGGAGCCATTAGCTCAAGCCTGCCTGCACCAAAATGAAATTTTTCACATCCAGTTGCTTTAACTATAGGCCAAATAAGCATATTCTTAGCCATTTCGAGTCTGCCTGCTTTGCATAACCCCTGAAACCACCACTCATCCTGTCTGCTCGCCAAAGGTGAGAAAAATCCTGGGCTATAAAAGACCCCAAATTGCTGCTGCTCTTTGTAGCTCTCTGACCCAGAGATTTCTGGCTGTGCTGTTGAGTGACATCTGGACGCATAAGCCCTTTTCTGATTCACTTCTCACCTGAGAGTTCTTTGCCCTCTTCCGCATGTTGGCCCTAAGCCGCTGATTCTGGAAGGTTTACAGCTGTGAGGGACTTCCCCTCTCACCTAACCTAAGTGCCCCCCGAAAAGCTCCTTGTGAGCTCCTGCCATCTCATGGTCACATCTTTTCCTTGATCAGCCTGAAATCCTCAGACTAACTACCCCATCGCTCAGTACAGCCCACACTCAAGGGAGGGGATACACAAGGGAATGAATACCAGGAGGCGGGGAGCACTGGGGGCACCTCAGCTGGTGTCTACCACAGTCAGCCCCAAAGACTCGCGTCCCTCTCACATGCCAGACACGTGTCCTAGGCCTTGTGTTCAGCTCTTCACACACACAAAAGAAACACTCAGGAGCAGAGGGCAAGGCTGAGCCTGTGGGTTTTTGTGTTACTTCCCCACCTGTATCTCTCATTGTGGAAATGGTTGCTGAACCACAGAGCACAGTAACACTCGTCCTCGTCCTCTGGCTGGGCCCCCATGATAGTGAGGGCGGCCTTGTTCCCAAGCGCAGGGAGCCAGAGAATCGGGCAGGGACCCCCTGAGACCCTGTTGCTAGTACCACCTATTAGACCCTGGCGTCCCTGATAGGGCTTCTCTTGGACCCAGTTGGCATAATTATTGGAGGTGACAGCCCCAGCACTTGAGCCACAGGTGAGTGTGACTGTTCCCCCAGGAGTTGTGATCAGTGAAGATTCCTGAATCACCACATCCTGTGAAGTGGACCCTGAAAACAGGTGAGAGACCAGAAGTCAGAAGAGGGGACAGGGGCATGAGGATGCAGTGTGGCTTCTCCCCTGCTGTCTCCCCTGCTGTCCCCCCAGCACAAAAAGTACCCCCTGACCTGTGCAGTGAGCCAGAAGTGTGAGCAGGAGTGGCACCCAGGCCATGGTGTAGACACCGCAGTGCTGTGCTTTTCAAGACCCCTCAGTAGAGGCAGCCTCCCCCATGGGGGTGGGAATTTCATGTAAATGAGCTCCAGTCCCAGGGATACTCAGCAACGTGGTCAGGTGGCAGCTACTGAGTTGTTCCATATCAGTGACCAGGTGTTAATGGGACCCAGGGCCTGGGGGCCGTTTCACAGCTGAGCTTGCTTTCCCAGGCCCTGACCCACAGCCCCCTCTGGTGTCCATAGTGAGCATATCACTGATGGAAAGATGCCCTCCTTAGGGTCTTTCCCTGTTCGCACCGTCTCTTCCCTCAGGTCTGGAGTTTTTAGTTCTTCAGTAGGTCAGATTCAGTGCCTGTGATTCCTGAGGAGGGAACTGGATGGAGGAATGTTGTGAAGGGAGGCCTGAATGAATCACTGCCTTTCTTCTTTACTCCAATTCACATACATTAGCTGTCTTTGTTGAGTAGAGGAGCTAAGGTCTTGGGTTCTCCTGCTGTCTTAGCTCCGTTTCCTCAGGAACCCACCCAGTAATGTGGCTACCTTGCCACATAGACAGTTGACCATCCCATGGTCAGATGCTGGATCTCTACCAGGGCCCAGTAGCATTTCAGAATTTATTTCTGAATGGTGTTTAGTATTCTGCTTCCCCAGAAAACTAGAGGACTGCATTGTGATTTTTCTTTTAGGGCTTGCCAAATACTTCATGTGTGTGTGTGTATCTGTGTCAGCTGGGTCATAGGACTCAAATGTCAAGGCTGCATGCATCATGGCTTGAGAGCCCTTGTCTGCACTGGGCCACCTTAAACTTAGTAGCCTCTGTGT